TATAATTTCCCATCATATTATAAAATGAATTTTAAAATAACCTCTGTACAACATTCCTATTCTTTCTGCATCATGCATTTTTTTGCTGTGTTTCTATCATACAAAAATTCTTTGTCTTATACCTTTTAAATCAATATAAAAAGGCCAACAAATCTCTAAATATTTTTGACAGATATGAGCAAGGATAACAAATAAGTATTCAGGCCAGGCGCAGTGGCTCACGCCTGTAATCCTAGCACTCTGGGAGGCTGAGACGGGTGGATTGCTAGAGGTCAGGAGTTTGAAACCAGCCTGAGCAAGAGCAAGACCCCAGATCTACTCTAAAAAGAAAGAAATTAATTGGCCGACTAATATATATAGAAAAAATTAGCTGGGCATGGTGGCACATGCCTGTAGTCCCAGCTACTCGGGAGGCTGAGGCAGTAGGATTGCTTGAGCCCAGGAGTTTGAGGTTGCTGTGAGCTAGGCTGACGCCACAGCACTCACTCTAGCTTGGGCAACAAAGTGAGACTCTTGTCTCAAAAAAAACAAAAAAGAATTATTCAGCCTAAAATGTCAATAATGCCAAGGTTAAGAAACTCTGGTCTAGAAGAAAATCTCTGTGATCTAGTATTAGGTGAAGATTTCTCAGACAGGATACAAGAAGTACAAGCTACAAAAGGAAAAATAAAATCAATAAACCAATTTCATAAAAATTAAAACTTCTGCTTTTCAAGACAAGAGAATACACAGATAAGCCATACTGGGAGAAAATATTTCCAAAAGACATTTGATAAAAGACTTGCATCTAGAACTATAAAGAACTCTCAAAGCTCAACAAATGAAATAAAATAGCCATAAAAATTGGAGAAGAGATTTAAACAGATCTTTCACTGATGAAGAAAGATGAAGGGCAAATAAGCACACAAAAAGATGTTCAATATCATTAGTTATCAGAGAAATGCATATTAAAACCACAATGAGACACCACAATATACCTTCCAGAGTGGCTAATATTAAAAAAACAAAAAAAAACTGACGTACAAAGAGCTGGCAAGAGTGCAGAACAACTAGAACTCTCATACACTACTGGGAATACAAAATGGTATAACCACTTTGGAAAACAGTTTGGCACTTTCCTATGTTAAACATACAATTACCATATCAGTCAACAAACCCATTCCTAGATATTTACTTAAGAGAAATGAAGTCAGGCCGGCACAGTGGCTCAAGCCTGTAATCCTACCACTCTGGAAGGCCGAGGCGGGCGGATTGCTCGAGGTCAGGAGTTCGAAACCAGCCTGAGCAAAAGCAAGACCCTGTCTCTACTATAAATAGAAAGAAATTAATTGGCCAACTAATATATAGAGAAAAAATTAACCGGGCATGGTGGCGCATGCCTATAGACCCAGCCACTCAGGACGCTGAGGCAGTAGGATTGCTTGAGCCCAGGAGTTTGAGGTTGCCGTGAGCTAGGCTGACACCGCGGCACTCACTCAAGCCTGTACAACAAAGCAAGACTCTGTCACAAAAAAAAAAAAAAAGAAATGAAATGAAATGGAGTCATATGCCTACTCAAAAACCCATACATAAATAGAATACTACTCAGCAATAAAAATTAAAGTGGAACAAACTATTGATACATGCAATAACATAGATAAATCTCAAAAGCATGTGCCAAGTGAAAGAAGTCAGATTCAAAAGTTTATACACTGTATTATTCTGAAAAGGTAAAACTACAGAGACAGAAATCTGATCAGCAGTTGCCAAGGACTAGGGGTGGAGGAAGTAATTGACTACAAAGAGACACATGGGAACTTTTTTGGGGTGATGGCAAAATTGTGTATCTCAAATGTGGTGGTGGTTTCATGACTATATATATTTGTCAAAACTCATTTAACAAACTGTACACCTAAAAGAGTGAATTTTGATATATTTAATTCATACCTCAATAAACCTGACTTTTAAAAACTAAGGGTAGGATATCAGGAAATGGAAACAAAAAATGTAGACCACTCTTATATTTCACTTTATCAGGGAGCAAAATATTCAATGGGGCAGTAGCTGTAAAGGAAGAGAGGATGAGACATTTGTACTCAGGTTGCTAGCAATGACAAAATCTGAACTCTGACCCTGGAGGAGTAAGAGAAAGCTGAAAGGAGATATTGAGGGAAAGACTGCTGGAGGTTAGATCAAAGACCTGGGAACTTCAGGCATTGGATGGGTAATGTATTAATACGTTGAAATGAGAAAAATAAAAGAGAGCAAGACAATGTAGCAAGAGCTGTAGTTTTCAATTAATAAAGAGTGATAGCTCAGATGACAGCAACGCAGACAAACAATGAGCACAATAATCAGAAGAGGAAAAGAAGGAAGAGAATTAGAGAGTTGCATAATTTTCTAGCTATTCTGAGGAACCCAGTATGAAGGCAGAAAGGAAATGCTTGCTATAGGATTCATCATGGTTTGTATTTTATAAGATGGGGACAAAAGGAAGATATCAATATTTGGACTATGTTCTATCAAAAACATGCCCTCAGAAAATATTAAATTACTTAGGAATATATCCCTGTATTAGTTTCCTAGGGCTGCCTAGGAAACAAAGTGACACAAACCAGGTCACTTAAAATAACAGAAATTTATTCTTTCACAGTTCTAGAGTCCAGAAGTTTGAAATCAAGATGTTGACAGGGTCATACTCCCTCTGAAGCCTCTGAGGTAGGATCCTTTCTTACTACTTCTACCTTATGGAAGCCCCTTATCTTTTGGCAGCATAACTCTAATCTCTGCCTCCATCTTACATGGCCATCCTCTCCTTCTGTGTCTTTTTTTTTTTTTAGTTAGTTAGTTAGTTTGAGACAGAGTCTCACTTTGTTGCCCGGGCTAGAGTGCCATGGCATCAACCTAGCTCATAGCAACCTCAAACTCCTGGACTCAAGTGATCCTCCTGCCTCACCCTCCCAGGTAGCTGGGACTACAGGTATGTGCCACCGTGCCCAGCTAATTTTTTTCTATATATTTTTAGCTGTCCAAGTAATTTCTTTCTATTTTTAGTAGAGATGGGGTATCGCTCTTGCTCAGGCTGGTCTTGAACTCCTGAACTCAAATGATCCACCTGCCTCGGCCTCCCAGAGTGCTAGGATTACAGGCGTGAGCCACCATGCCTGGCCTCTGTGTCTTTTTCTTCACATGGCATTCTCCTCTTACATAGCCATATTGGATTAAGGGCCCACACTACTCCAATATGACCTCATCTTAACTGAAAATAATTACATCTGCAATCACCATTTCCAAGTAAGGTCACATTCTGAGAACTTCAACATATCATTTGAGGGGCACAATTCCACCCAAAAAAATCCTCCTCCATTTAATGGCCCCAGGGTACTGTGCTTTTTTCTGGTCAAGGTTTCCCTTAATTCCTTTCCCTCAGTGACAGCAAATCTCCCTTCCTTCATATTTCACATCTAATGGATAACCACTGCAATTTAAGGAAAACTGAAGACAGAAGAAATATGCTACCCAAGTTATTAGATAATCAGCTTTACCAATATTTAACCATTGTAAAAGTGAGGCTGCATTTTTCCTCCAATAACCATACATGAGCTTTTTTCCTATCTGCTCATGATTTTTGCATTTCTTCAAAGTTAATGACTATGTTCTAGATCAAGGTTCTGAAAGTGTGGTCCAAAGATCCCTGAGGGTCACTGACATCCTCTCAAGGAATCTATTAACAGCCTCCTTTTTCTAACTACCTATCTGTGTAAGGCCAGAATGTCTTCATATACTTCAACTAAAAAAAAAAAAAACACATCCCAACAGACTGAATGCAGAAGCAGATATGAGAATCCAGCTATCGTGGTAAATTTTATGTGTCAAAATGACTGGGTCACAGGGTGTCCAGATATTTGATTAAACATTATTTTGGGTGTATCCATGTGAGTGTATTTGGATGAGACTGACGTTTGAATCTGGAGAATAAGTAAAGCAGATTGCCCTTCCCAATCTGGTCCAATACACTGAAGGTCTAAATAGAACAAAAGGCTGAGCAAGAGGGAAATTACTCTCCCTGCCTGATGGCTTTCTAGCTGGAGGCTCTTCTGCTTTCAAACTCAGACCAGAATTTATACCACTGGCTGTCCCGGTTCTCAGGCCTTTAGGCTCAAATTTTAACTATACCTCAGCTCTCCAGGGTCTCCAGCTTGCAGATCTTGGGAATTCTCAGCCTCCATAATCACATAAACCAATTCCTTATAATAAATATATATATATAAATAGATATATATGACTCCTTTTTTTATAATTTTATATTTTCTTTTTACTTTTTAATTTTTAATTAATCTTTTTTTCTTTTTTTTATTTTGTTAAAGCAGCCTATATCTGTATATCTTACTGGTTCTATTTCTCTAAAGAACCCTGACTAATGCATCAACTGGTTTCTGTTAAGCCAGACATCAAAGAGATTTACAAAAATGTAAAACAGTGCTACTTTTCCAACTAATTGTTTTTGGTTTTGGAAAATAGTCATTTTTCACTTTAAATGTACTACTTATGGTAATATGTAATGGGTGTGTTCTTTTGAAATAAATTTTAAAATAAATGTTTTTAAATTTCTTGTATGCTAAATATCTATATAGATAATCCACATAAACAAAAGCTCTTTAGAAACTTTTGAAGAATATAAAGAGTTCTGAGACCAAAAAATAAAGTGAACAGCTGTTCTACATAAAGGTTGTGAAGATCTGTTAGAAAAATAGAATATTAGGCCAGGTGCAGCAGCTCATGCCTGTAATCCCAGCACTTTGGGAAGCCAAGGCAGGAGGATAGCTTGAGCCCATGAGTTTGAGGCTACAGCTAACTATGATTGTGATGCTGCACTCCAGAATGGGTGAAAGAGTGAGACCTTGTCTAAAAAAAAAAAAAGAATATTACAGCAATTTAATTATTTCTATTCTTCACAGCTAAATCAGAATTTCTTGTGCTATTTATCTAAAGAAAATGTTTGCCAGTTATAGAAGACATACCTGATCATCCCCAGAACCCCACTGAGCTGTTGTTTCTGGCGCATTTGTATTAGTAATCTGTGTTCTACTACTGCCTTGATGAAATGACTGTTGCCATACATAACAGTTCAATGGAACAACCTGAAAATCAAAAGCAGACTTAACTTGAGTCATTAACACAACCACTCCAATTATATAATAAAAATACTCTAATATTTAGATCATACTTCTCAGTTTATAAAGCACTTTCACATATATAATATTTCCACTTTGCAACCACTATCCAAGCTATCTATTATCCTCAGTTAAAAAATAAGGAAATAGGGTCACATTTTCTCAGGGCCTCTTGAGGCCATTTGTGCCACCATGTAAGCCACTGTGCACTTTGAGAGGCTGAGGCAGGAGGATCACTTGAAGGCAGGAGTTTGAGACCACCCTGGGGAATATGAGGAGACTTTATCTCTAAAAATTATTGTTTTTAAATTACCCAGGTGTGGTAGTACATGCCTATAGTTCCAGCTACTCAGGAGGTTCAGTGACCAATGATCATGCCACTGCACTCCAGCATGGGCAACAGAACAAGACCCTGTCTATTTAAAAAAAGAAGAAATAAGGATGAAGTCATAAAAGTAAAACAGGTAGCCATGAGTTAAGAAAAGATGAATGCTAACAAAAAAATTAATAACCCTAAATGTAAGTCATTAAAAAGGTTGAGATAATACTAAATAGCACATAATTAAAGGCAAAATAAGTGAGTTATAAGTTACCACCCAATAGTAGCACACAGTGGGTTAAATATAAGAAACCGGAAGAGACGTGGGAGTACTTTAAGGAGCCACAACATAGACCATTTAGAAGTTTTCGGGTAAAGTATAGCAGGAATAGTAAAGAGGCAATATCTGATAACTGCTAATGGATCTACACCAGCCAGAAGAAAAGACAACCCAAGGATATTATGACCAGCTATTATATCTTTTTTTTTTCAACCTACTTCAGAGACAAGGGACCAGTTCTATCAATTTCTGTGTCCACACAGATCAATGGAACAGAGAACCCAGAAATAAAACCACATATCTACAACCAAACGATCTTTGACAAAGAAGACAAAATATACACTGCAGGAAGAACACACTATTCAATAAATTGTTCTGGGAAAATTGGATAGCCTCATGCAAAAGATTGAAACTGCATATCTCTCACAATACATAAAAATTAACTCAAGATGGACTAACAACTTAAATGTGAGACCTGAAACAATAAAAATCCTAGAAGAAAACTAAGAAAAACTCTCCTGGACATTGGCCTAAGCAAAGACCAAAAGCAAATTCAACAAAAACAAAAACAGACAAATGGAATTTAATTAAATTAAAAAGCTTCTGCGCAAAAGAAATAATTAAAAGAGCAATAGACAACCTACAGAATGGGAGAAAGTATTCCCAAACTATGTGTCCAAAAAAGGATTAATATCTAAAATCTACAAGGAACTCAAACAACTCAGCAAGAAAAAAACAACTCCATTAAAAAGTGGACAAATGACATAAATAGGCATTTTTCAAAAGAAGATCTACAAAGGCCAAAAAACATTATGAAGTATGCTCAACATCACTAGTCAGCAGGCAAATGCAAATTAAAACCACAATGAGATACCATCTTAGGGCAAGGGATGCAGTGAAAAGGGAACACTTACATGCTGTTGGTGGGAATGTAAATTAGTACAACTTCTACGGAAAGCAGTATGAAGATTTCTCAATCTTCAAAGAACTAAAAATAGATCTACCATTCAGTCCTGCAATCCCACTATGGATATATACCCAGAGGAAAAGAAATCATTATATCAAAAAGACATCTGCACTCATATATTTATCACAGCAGAATTCACAGTCACAAAGATAAGGAATCACCCTAAGCACCCATCAACTGATAAGTGGATAAAGAAAATGTGGTATACATATATCAGGGAGTATGAGTGATAAGAAGAATGAAAATAATGTCTTTTGAAGCAACTTGAATAGAACTGGAGGCCATTATCCTAAGTGAAATAAATCAGAAACAGAAAAATAAACACTGCATGTTCTCACCTATAAGTGGGAGCTAAACTATGGCTACGCAAGAACACATAGAGTGGTACAATGAACACTGGAGACTCAGAAACGGGAGAGGATTGGAGAGGTAAAGGATGAAAAATTACCTATAGGGTACAATGCACAGTATGTGGGTGATGGGCACTCTAAAAATCCAGACTTCATTACTATACATGTAATGGAATTCAACTTTTACCCCTAAATCTATTAAACTAAAATAAAATTCTTTTCTTGAGCAAAGAAAAAAAGAAAGGAAAAAAAATTTCTGTGTCTGATAATAGGCAGAGCAACTAACTTACTACAAATTACCAAGAGTGTAGAAAGAAATTCATTAAAATTAACAAGAACTCTTTTATGTGCATAACTGAGCTCAAAAGAAATTCAGAAAAGTCACTACATCTAAATAACAAATACGAAACTAAAAATCAAAGCAGTAATTGAGTGATCACAAAGCCTGATGTCTCACAGTTCTAATTTGTACAACCTAGCCCTCATGTAGGTTTGGGGCTAAAATTTATACCCCTTCATGTCTGTGAAATCACAAGCTGGAAAATCAAAAGTGATTCCAGGTTAGCAACACCTCAAAATGCCTGATAGAAGCAAAGTACATAAGACAACAAATAAAAATTTTAAAAAATAAGATGAAAGAAATATATCTGTAATTATAATAAGTATACATGTACTAACAGTAGTTTAGAAAAGATATTGTCAGATCAAATTTTAAGAGATATATGCTATTCGTAAGCTACATGTTATTTATAACAAATATACCTAAGTCATAAAGACACAGAATGTTTAAAAATAAAAGTACAGAAAATAATATGCCAGGAAAATATTAAAATAGATTACCTACCTACATATATACACATATATAAAATATTGTTTCACATCTGGGATTCTAAGTGTCTTTTCCACCTGTTTTTGACTCAAATTTACATATTTTAATTTTGAAAATCCTTCCTTTTTTGAATGGATGCTATTCCTCTTTCCTTTATCTCTTCTGTACCAAATTAATGTTATATCAGGGTTTCTCAACATTGCCACTATTGATATGTGGGGCTAGGTAATGTTAATACTTTGTTGTGAGAAGCTTTCCTTTGCACTGTAGGATGTTTAGCACCAACCCTGGCCTTTATCCACTAGAAGCCAGTGGCACCCTAGATCCCCCCAATTAGTGACAATGAAAAATGTCACCAGACATAGCCAAATATCCCCTGAGAGCCAAACAGCTGCAGCTGGGAACTACTGTGCTATGTAAATTAATACTGAGTATAAAGGATGATAACTACATAATGATAAAATTACCAAGTCATCTAGGACTGCAGTCCCAAACTCCCCAACCATAGACCAGTTTGTGGCATGTTAGAAACCAGGCTGCACTGCAGAAGGTGAGTGGCAGGCAAGTGAGTGAAGCTTCACCTGTATTTACAGCCACTCCCTATCACTCACATCACCCCCTGAGCTCCTCCTCCTGTCCCATCCCCTCCCACCAAAAATTGTCTTACATGAAACTGGTCCCTGGTACAAAAAAGTTGGGAACTGCTGATCTAGAAGATATAACAATTCTTAATTTGTATAAGTCTCACTAAATATTTTAAGGCTATCTTAACAAAACTATAGGAAGAAGATAAATCTACCATCATAGTGGGAAACAGACAAAAATAACCAAGCAATATACGAACAAACTTGATCTAATAACCTTACATAGAATTTAGTACCCAAAAAGAAAAAACAAACTAAAACTCTATTTTCTACTTCTATATTTCTAAATAACTCAAATAGCAATAAAAATTAAAAAATAAAATGTTAAAATTTTATTTTTTAATAAAAATTTGTTTTATTTAAATAAATTAATTAATTAAGTAATTTTAAAAAACATTTTTTTTTCAGGTCGCCGGCTGCTGCCACAACAGGCCCGCTGGGCCCAGCAGCAGCTTCTTCTTCACCCCTAATATAATAAAAAAAAAATTTTTTTTTTAGACAGAATCTCACTCTGTTGCCCCGGCTAGAGTGCCATGGTGTCAGTCTAGTTCACAGGAACCTCAAACTCCTGGGTTCAAGCGATGTTCCTGACTCAGCCTCCTGGGTAGCTGGGACTACAGGCATGCACCACCACACCTGGCTAATTTTTTTTCTATTTCTGGTAGAGACAAGGTCTTGCTCTTGCTCAAGCGGGTCTCAAACTCCTGCTCTCAAACTCCTGAGCTCAAATGATCCGCCTGCCTCAGCCTCCCAGAGTGCTAGGATTACAGGCGTGAGCCACTGTGTCCGCCCCCCAATAGAAAATTAAACAAAATAAAATAGAAAGTAAAATATTTAGAACAAAAATTTCAGTACTACATATCAAAATTCATAGGATGTCACTAAAATGGCACTTAGAAAGAAACACAATTCCCTAAATGCATTTATTAGAAATAGAAGAAAAGTTGAAAATCAATGAGATAAATTTTCAATTCAAGAAGCTGGAAAAAGAACAACAAAGGAAACACAAAGAAAAAGAAAATAAATAATAGGCCGGGCGCTGTGGCTCACGCCTGTAATCCTAGCTCTTGGGAGGCCGAGGCGGGCGGATTGCTCAAGGTCAGGAGTTCGAAACCAGCCTGAGCAAGAGCGAGACCCCGTCTCTACTATAAATAGAAAGAAATTAATTGGCCAACTGATATATATATATAAAAAATTAGCCGGGCATAGTGGCGCATGCCTGTAGTCCCAGCTACTCGGGAGGCTGAGGCAGAAGGATCACTGGAGCCCAGGAGTTTGAGGTTGCTGTGAGCTAGGCTGACGCCACGGCACTCACTCTAGCCTGGACAACAAAGTGAGACTCTGTCTCAAAAAAAAAAAAAAAGAAAAGAAATAATAAAGCTAAAAAAAATAATCAAACAAAAATTAGGAAAAAGCAAAGACATGATCAACAACCCAAAATCTGGTCATTTCAAAATGACCTATTCAACAGATAAATCTCCAGCAAGACTGATAGAGGAAAAAACTTAAAAAGGCACAAATAAATAATACAGATTCCACAAAAGGAGAGAACTGCAAATCAGTTGAAAACAATGAGAC